GGCAGTTAGAAAGCGTGTTTTCGGTTGTGTAACGGGTACTTTCACTGAAGAATGTGTCCAGCATCAGAAGCTGCGTTGGTTGGGACATGCGTTACGTATGCCGAACCATCGTTTGCCGAAGATAGTGCTGTTTTTCATACCCAACTCAGAGTGATGTAAACAGAGAGGTGGCCAACCCTTAACTTGGCAAAGGAGTATGAAGGAGATTATGGAACGCTTGGATGTTGTCGGTTCTACTCGCCTTCCAGGATGGGGACCGCTTGATCTTCATTGCGCCTGGTTGGAGACGCTGCAAGAAATGGCTGCCAACCGATGCGAGTGGCGTTCTTGTTGTCAGTTTCTATCCAGATTGCCTGATGGAATGTCTGGAGGTATAGGCCCCTCGGAATGATTGTGTTAAGCTAGCACTAAGTCCCCCGCCTACCTTTGCTCTTTTCTTTGCAATAAGGCTTTCAAATAAATCGTGCCTGTATGGCAGTGAAGAATCGGTGTTGAACACTCATGCCACGCTGTCGATGATGATGATGATGAGCTTAATTCCAACCTTATAGTAATGTTTGTTTATTCAAACACCGGTTTCAGATATGTGGATGGTACTACCTGCTCAATGAGACTATGTCAAGAAAGAAACACTTGAAGGCTGGACTGGAAGAACCACGGACATCAGAGGACGCGAAACGATTAAGCGTTCCGAGTGACCTGGAATCCTGTCCTGCCGTACCCGTCAACCGTCTCGATACAATGGCTCCTCCATATTTGCCCGTTTCATCACAGCAACCTCTATTGACGCCCACAATCGAGAACATTCGAAGCCCAGTAGTCCCAAGTAGGAGTGTTCCAAGTCAACCCTCAAAATCCATCGCCCTTCATCCAGGTGTTTCCACATTTATGGGCTTGCCAAAAACCAACAAGGCCCTGAACAATATGCAGTTGTATAATGTAAGTCAGTGTGTTTGTTGAGAAAGTGACATTTTAATCGCAATTGTGTTCGTTTGTCCACCACTTGCATAATGTCTGTAGCAAATGTCTGCTATCCACGTCTCTCCCGATGTGTAAGGTTCTAATGAAGCACGTTTCTTCGCTCAAGATGCTCATAGAACGCCGGTACATTTGATTTTCCAACCTTCAAGGATGGTGTAAACACCTCATTCCCCGCAGAACCATTTTTGTGCATTGTAACATACGTGCGCGAATCCCAAACTTTGTCTTCTGTTGAAGTTGCCGCCCTGTTTGTTACCGATCCGTGATCTGGGATGACTAAAGCCTAGGTTTTTCAGTTGGACTGTCCAAATAATGAACTGCGTCGAGTACAGAAGTTATCTGTTTTATATTCGAAGGTAAGGCCTGTAGGTAAGTAGACTGTGTTTTCATGGACATTGCTTTAGGCCCAACTCTGTTCGACGTTTTTTCCCTTTCTGAGAGAAAGCCGAACCTGTGAGGCTAGTAATGGTGCCCCGCTTTATAAACTTCTAACCAGTAGTTTATTTGTTGCCCTACTTAATATTCAACCAAGCATTGCAGTGCCTTACAAATCGATTTTGATAACAAATCAACTTCCCGCTAGATGTCTTCCCGAATGAACCTCGGTTCGGGCGATTCTCACTTACTTTCAGGCTGCCGTAACTAGTGAACTGTTTCATCACTCTTCGAATTCACCCTTTTGAATGCAGATGGATATTGACCATCCATTTGCCTCAGAAAAGTTCCACTACTTGTCTTATTTACGTCCGTTTATATCCAAACTAATCACTTGAATTTATTTAATCATGGTTTCACCTACGCGGAAGAGCCTGAGAGCATTGAACGTCGGTTTGATCCTTATTGGGGATCATCTCCAGTGCGCATCAGACGAAATTCAAGAGAATTTCGAATCTACCACGTCCCGACTAATAGTGTAAGCCAACATTTTGAGCCGACAGCCGTTGGGAACGGTTGGACGATCAAAATATGCGGTCCTCAGGGTCGACTTTTTAGAACCCGCACTTATTTGGGAATACAAATCACCTCTTCATTGCGAACAGTAGGACTTTACCTGCATACTAGCTTCTTCAAGACGCTATTGTTCATCAGCCTTTCCTCTGTTCGTCCTTTCTGATATTTTTGTGTCCCAGAGGACTATGTTCTTAACAGGATTATCGAAGCATCAAAGCCTGAATAACACAGAAATAGGTCTGCTATAAGTTGAGTACCCTGTGGTCACAAACGGTGTCACCTGAACTGGGATTTTGGACAAATGAGTCGTCGGTTGAAATGGCTCGGAAAGTCACTTGATTATACACCATGTACCGGTGAAAGCATCAGAATAGAATTCGTTTGTTATGCTGCTGACAAGTAGCACACGAATCCCCAGAAATACCCAAACTCCAACTGTGCCGAAATGACAAAATGGTTTTACATAGTTAACTGCCTAACCAGCCTCGGTGTCCATTGTGCCAGCACGCGCATAAAACCAAACTTCTGGACATATTGTTAAATGCACTCCAACACTGGCCAGAAGTTTGATTTCGCACCTTTTCCCTTCTGGTTTTTACTCAATCTTCACCATATCGTTGCTTACTCCTGCTCCGTTGGTTTTGTCTTAACCATATGTGCTTTCCTGGAGCGAGATGGCTCAAGTGGTTAGAGCGCGAATTTCCTGACCGGAAGGTCCGTGGTTCGAGCCCGACCTCTGCCACTCGACTTCCCCCCATCTAGGCTTGGGCGACCTGGCAGTATGCCAGCCCTCGTGCAACCTTCGGGTGGCATGACAGCTAGGTACCGAAAGGGTGCTAAAGCAGATGAAAATTCTTCGACATCGTTTGGGCGTCCCATGCGGATTATAGCTACCATACTGCTATCCCGCGAACGAACTTAAAGTGAATTTTCACGCGTTTTCTACGCAGCACTCACCGCCAATCAGAAAACGAAGAAAAGCTTCCAAGACTCGAAAGGTTCCGCGTGAGATAAATCCATTATTTCTTAACAGCACTTTCCATAGATGTGCCCCTGAACGATGAAACTCATAAGGCGTGTCAGCTTGATGTGGTAAGTTTGGCGAACGGAGACCGCTTTGTCGATGTAGCCCCGCAACAGACCTTTTGGACCGTCATTCCTGAGACGATTATCGCCCAACTTCATCTACCCAATTCACACCCGATGAGATTAAGGGTTCACAACCTAGCGAAATACACTCATTTGCAAACAAGTTTGGTTTTGAGAGAGAATCAGAAGGAACTCAGCCGAATCTCTCGTTTGTGATGTTTCCAGGCGACTACATGTGCTGCACCAGGCCATCTCATGATACGATGTTCGAGATATCGCGATCATATGTAGACGTAGTACACTACTCATAAGGTTGCTGAAAATTCTTCGACATCCCACGACCGGTCTCGCCCTTCTTGGGGCTTACAGGGTGGGCGCAGTCCCCACGTTTTCGTCAGCTTTATAGTCTACTTGAGACCAAATTGCACGGAATTAGCGAAGTACACTAATCTGCAAACAGATTTGGTTTTCACAATCTGGTATATTCGCCGTCCCTAAGATAACTTTATCAGGACTGATACAAGCTTTTGTGGTTGAATTAAGTGGGTAGGCTACAAAAATCATTGTACTCCAATCATCGGAATGATCGATCGACATTCAGTAATCCAGTCCGCGTCGTTATCCACCGAGGATGGTTTTGTGTTGCCTTCCTTAAAGCGGTTGAAGTGTATGCAAATTCAGAACACCTATGTACATTCAGCTGACTCGTTCGTTAGGACTTCAAAGAAGGATTCAACGCACTTCTATTGAATCACTGTAAACGTGAAGAAGGCTTACAGGAAAAATCTATGTTTTATTCTAATGCTGAACGCATTGGTCATCTGCACTTTCCGTCGTGATTGGCGCAATTCTAAACAAATTCTCAAAAATACTACTACATTCGATTTAAGTAGCTTAAAGACAAATTACCAAAAAATACGGCTGTCCAAAAAGTACTGTGGTCTATCGCCTGAGGCGCTTTTTCTATCGTATTCAGTTAATTTATATTGAGTATTTAACAACATATTGCCGTAGCAGTAGGTAGCAGAACGGAATGTATTGAATGATTTCCTAGTTTGTCATATTCTTGAGAAGTTATTCTAACAAAAGATACCTTGTTTGCTATCTTTAGTTGTATCGTTTCCTTCTAACACTCTGCAGTTTATCATTTCCCGTGGACCTAAAGGCTTTGGCTTTACTCTTTCTGGTGGTTGTCCGGTGTACGTGAGTTATGTGGAACCGGGGTCACCAGCGCTGCAGTGCGGCGTGAAAGCTGGAGACTACATCATGGCTGTCGATCGATTTAACGTGTCGCGATCAAGTGCTGACAGCGTTGTCCGGCTGTTCAGGTGGGTTGTCAGGTCAGAAATGCTTAGACTTAACTCCCACAGCGAAATATACATATTTGGCTTTTACGGGATACTCATCTGGAACCCAGCAAAATCTCTCGTTTATGATGTTTTTTTGAGCAAGTGAATATGCTGCACCAAGCGGCTCCTGTTTCACTTGCTACGATATTCGAGATATCGTGATACATGTATATTCGTAATGCACTACTCATGACGTTGCTTTTGAAGAGTTTCTGGCAACCTTATGTCTAGTGTATTACGTCTACATTAGCCTCCACAGCTTTCGATAGTGTGTCCTATCGGAATAAAAAGCTCCATTTACGGCAAGATAGTAATTGACTTGTGGAAGGCGGAGGTCCGATATCTTATTTGTCATACTACTACTAACTAACAGTAGTATTCAATGACGTGGCTGACTCAATCTTGTACTGAAATTCCTAGTACTGAGGCTTTTGCGGGACAGTCCGAACCTGCTGGGTGTGTTGCATACCGGATGGTGCTGTTTGAAGTTCTACTTAGGCAAGCTAAATCTTTGACATGCGATGTAATCTGCATTCCGGGAATCTGCGATGCCCATACGTGGGGTCCGATTTGAGGTCACTACATGGAGTTTTCATTTCGGCGTTGTGGAAACCTGTTGTTGCTCGAGTATGTTAGCAAGCCATGTCGAATTCTGATTGGCCAATGCAACGAAATCATGTGACCAGATTCGTAGGAACATAAAAGAACTATGTAGGTGCACGAAATTCACTGTCGTCGTTGACTGAAGCATGCGCTGATTCTGCGCCTGTTTAGTGAGTAACGTAATCATGCATTTTTATGCATTCTTTCCTCCGTGCGTTTCAGATCGGCTCAAAATTCCGTTTGCGTCACCATTTGCCGATCGATAACTTACAACGTTCAACTACTGCCAACCTCACGGTCTAGTGGCGTCAAATCATTGTGTAATTTTCTCCCTAGTAGTTGCTTCTCCTACGCAAAGAGGAGTGAGTCTAACGGACAGCCACAAGCAAACATCGAAGTAGCGCCAAACTCTTACGCGCAGCTTCTACCGGATGGTTGTCCAACATTCACCGCCCTGAACAACCGACTGATCCCAGTGTTTCAACCAAACACCCAACAATCATTCTCGAATCCCACGAATAACGCCTTCGGTCTCCCAAACTCCCACTCTTCATATCACGTGACGAACACTGCAGATAATCCACTTTCGCCCAGACTACCCAGCTCAAAAACAGAGAACCGGTTGATGGAGTTGGGGAGTTACGTTCGACCTAACTCACCTAACCTCAATTCCGTATCGACCTACTCGCAGCAGACGAATGAGACGAACTCCCCGGGATTTTGGGAGACACCCGTGGACTTGAATTTGAAGGTAGGTTGTTTTCCCGTGGACTATTTGAACGAGTGAAGTTATTCTAGGAGGGTTTTTCCTCCTGCAGCTTCCAAGCTCTCCAAGTGACTTTACTGAATTGCTTTTAACCTGTCCTTGAAATTTTGGTTCATATGCATAAAAATCACAGGAAGGCAAATCAAACTAGGAAAAAAGGTGATGGCTTGACAATAGCCGTTTAAAAACACTAAGTATGTGATGGAAATGATTCTGTTTGGAAGCTTAAAGGCAGCTTGTAGTCTATTTCAGAGAAAACATCAGCGGTTGCCTACTTTGAATCACTTGTAGGACGGCTAGAACAGCTTTCGTGAACCTGCATCACCTGTTTCACAGGTGTAACATCAGCCTGACCGTCAAGGGTCGAGTTTACAATGTTGTTGTGCGCTACATACTACTATACAGGTCAGAAACTCGGTCACTGCGCTCTGATGAGATCAAAACGATTTAACTGTTCAACCATCGACGTCTTCCGAACATTGCTCAAGTCTGATTGAAACACCGGATGGGTAATGCTGAATTAGGTCGAATGTTTTTCGGAAGGAATAACTCATCCACAATAGATGAACCGATCACACTCTATAGGTTGCGCTGGTTTGGCCACGTGCTCCGTATGCCAATCGACCGACTTCCTTGAAGGGCTTTTTCGCACGCGAAGAGTAAGAACGAGTCAGGGGAGATCAAACACTGACTTGGCAGCGAAGTATAAAAGCCATTACCAGTAAACCCATTTGTGCTGGTGGTTGACGTCTTCGTGGATGGGGACCCGGAGATGAGACACATCAGCGATTATAGACATTGTCAGACATTGTACAGTCGAGCCTTTGTTGGTGGTCATGCATCGAAGCTGTTGCCTTCAATGCACACAGTCGAGCCCTTGTTGGTGGTCATGCATCGAAGCCGTTGCCTTCAATGCATAGCCCCCTCCGAATCTCCCTGATGGAAGTTCACTGACACTCCTGTATTTATGGACCAATTGTATAAGCTACCGCCTCTAAGGCGCGGCTATCTACCCCACCACCCCAAATCATCGGTGAGCGAGACTGTGTCAGCTACAACCACTGTTCGACAAATACGCAGTTTTACAGCAGATGATAATGATTATGGTGGTGAGATTGCTCAAGTCAAGGATGTTGCGCATTGGAAAACTAAGCAATTATGCGATCCGACCTAAAATACGCGCCTGAATTTTCTTGGACTGTCGGCTGAGATGTCTTTCATCGGGAATTGATTGATGAAATAATGAAATAAAATGTTACCAGTTGTCTCTGAATTATGGGACGCAGAATCACGGGCGATGGGTTCCCAACGCAACCCAATTCGCATCTAATTGGATGCCGTGAATTGGTGTAGACGGCCGTATGATCGACTGGGTCGATCGAATCGCGTCACATGACCAGGGCAGACTACGCTAGTTCAGTGATTCTCCTAGAAGAGATTATTGGCTCAGCGGAACACTTAACCGTGTCGCATAATTGATAACGGTCACGTGACCAATCCGAACGGATTGTTTCCTCTCATCTATTGGGTACCTAATAGACTGCCAGTATCGATCTAATGACGTAGCTTGAGTACAGTAAAGTCAGCCACAGTATGACTGCGAAGTCTGTTACTGCGCTGCCGAGAACAGCTCGTAGGATCTCTGGGTTCAGCTTGGTCATGTGACTCGAATCGGTCGACCCAGTCACCAACCGACCGTCTGGACGAAATCACGGAGAACTTGGGATTCGCTGTAAACCAGTCATCCGTGTCTCCGTCTTTTCTAACTTAGTGACCACTCGTAACTGTTTACTTCATTAATCACTCTCATTTTAACCAAGAGATATGTATTGAACTTACGAAAAGATTTCAGAAAAAATAATGTTCGTCACTGTATTCTTGTTAATATTTTCCCGCTTCTAAGAATATCAGGTTCTGGAAGCCCCCGCACAAGTCAGCTAGGCAAGTGATGATTCAGTTGAAATGTGAGCTGAATATACAGGCATGTAGCGATTGCTACTGCAGTGTGTATGACTTATACTCACTCTGCACTGGCCGCCGTCGGCGCTGCCACTCACCCTGATGTCCTACATCTGCTGCGCTGCGGAACGCGATCGCATTTTGGTACATCTTTGTGGAGGAACCCCTAAGAAAGCTTTATTTCATTGTCTTCTTTGTCCCTCCTCACTTTCAACCGATTTCCTCGCCAAACTTGGTCAACTGATCAACTGCCGCTTAATCAACAGCCAATAAACTCAACCGATCTACCGATATTTGGGCATATTGTCATTTTATTTCTTTTCAGGTAGTCACATTTGCATTTATCTGACGCTTCGAGTCTTCCCTTTTTGTGGAGAAGGCCCAATAGACTCATGACCTACCCCAGGGTTTCGCTACTCAGGATATTCGTCCTCGACATTCAGCTACATTTCACGTCAACGCTAACATGGCTTGAAAGAGACTCGTGTTTCCCACAACACTCGCTTTCTCGTCCAGTGGAAAGCCATTGTTCATAGCTGAAGTTTGTTGACTTTGTTTGACACGCGAATGAAGCACTGCATAATATTAGCTCAAAGGAGCATAGCAGACCATGAAAGACTAATTGCTATGAATTACCATCTAGTAGGCTAACCTGAAAACAAAAGGTAGACGATTCCTGTTCAGTACTGTTAGCGCCTCATGCATGGAGAAAAAAGCCCGCCCCAAGAAACAACGCGAACTTTTGATTTCGTTGGAGGTGTTCTCTCCACTTAGTGGGGTGAAATTAGCCTTCGGAGTACTTTATCTAGCTGTGGATCGGGCTCAAATTGTCCATATAGAACGTGAGGTTGACGGAAACTCGGGGATTGCGCCTACCTGATGAGCCCCAAGAAGGGCGAAACCGGTCGTGGGCTGTCGATAGTTTTCAGCAACCTTATGAGTAGTGCATTACGATTATCAGAATAGGTTTGGGAGCTGAGTCTGCGAAACTATTACAGGACTGATGATCTTGGTTAGATGTTTTGACAAGACATTGTTCTCACAAATTTGCCGAAAATCTGTGGCACCCCACGAACGCTTTCTCACTTTTTCGAACTCAATTTGTAGTGCTCACTGTGTTTTCGTCATGTGTGCGATCTTCTCAAACAGCCGAAGGTACACTGATTTTCAGACCAACTTGGTGTTAACGAGAATCTCAACTGTATCCTCTAGTGTTCGCAAGTAGAAAAAATAAAAAGAGAACTTACTGTTGATTTTGAATCTGAAGTCTTTTCTCGAGTGCGTGGGAGAAAAATGAAACTGAGATGACCTTGACAGACACCGTTTTAATGGGATGCATTTGTTTAGGCACCATAGAATAGTTGTGAATCGTTCTTTCGCAGAATAGCCAAAAGGAGCAGGTGTCAAGGGTGCTGAGAAAACGTATACTGAACTATTTGATTCTTACTCCCATCTTGTCTCTCAGGATCAGTGCAATGACTCACATCCAAACACATCCTCGATGAATCCGACAGCGGTCCGTCTGCCCAAATCAAAATCCAACTTTACAGTATGTTCATCCACTGGACCCACAGAAGCCACCACCCGACAAGCCTGTCCCACGATTTTTCAAAACGCACGTGCACAGCTGAAGAGCCCTGTGTGTATTGACCCGCACGGTCAACCAATTGTGAACTGTTTGAAATACGTCAGTCACGTACAACCGGTGGACTTCCGGGTCTATTCTGCGCGTTTGGAACACTATGGTTGCCTTAACTTGCTCGAATACTCCAGCTGTTCTAAAGTAGATTTACTCATGTTCCCCGAGTTGCTCCTGATTGCCCAACGAGCCCCGAACCGGTTCTTCACTGTGATCAAAGATCCCATCTACAATACAAAAATCTGCTACGTCAACATACCTCCATATGCTTCAGGTGAGTAAATGGAAAACGGATAAGCCTCTAGAAACACTGCTTGCGCCCGTTGCTATATTTAGCAGGTTTGAGGGCTTCTAACTTCAAGGAACACGATCACTCAGCTAACAGCCCCGCCATGCAATCCACTGATACATGTTTTTGAAGCCAATTTCGAGCACCACGAAGACAGCAGTACTAATCAGTGCTATACAGATATTAAGGACAAAGTTTACTTATCCGTATCGATTGGTTGCAGTTGATTGCAGTTGGTAAGATTCGAACAAGAAAAGGAAGCAAACATGCTTTCTCTGAAAAATAGAGTCATGCAAATCGAACAGTGAGCGTCAGATGCCTTGTTTGAACAGTTCCAGTGGGTAAAGCTCTTGTTGGTGAAATCCAATATTTGGTGTTTTACTAGTGACAAGTAGTCTCGATATTCTGTTGCGCTGCAATACGAGAAAACGAACCAGTTGGAACCAGAGAATGGCTAGTTGGAGAATGTCGACCAGTGTATGTTGATAATTTTTTTACCGTCAGCTTCTTGGATTGAGCTGTGCAATCTTTCCGTAGACTTATCGTGTTGCGTTTTTTTAGTCTGGCATTCTGCTAGACGCCAGGCTTTTCGTGGCCACTGTTGAAGAAATGTGAGATCGCAAGAATTAATGTAAATCTATGCTGACGCTTCTGTAGAACTGCTAAGTCACTCTTTTCTGATTAGGGAGCAGATTATTTAATACTTTAGTCTCTGTTTTTGGGCCAAATTTATTTTTCATACGCTACCACTGACCGAATAATGAGTTTTGGTGAACCTACTTCTTTACGGGTGCAAGAAGTGTTCCGTATGGCTATTAGCCGACAATGTGCGGGTGGTAAATCCTTTCCCCTCTCAATCTTTCTCTTTTATTTCATTTAATCGACGCTCACAGACACTCGATGCAAGGAGGCACAAACACTTATTACGTCTCCGTTTTCAATTTAACTTGTGATGATGGAGTGATAATGGACACATCGGTACTCAGTATTCGCACAATGGAATTGAATTTTTAAAAGCCGTCGTGAACTAAGGAAACCGGGCAATTAAGTTCAGAGCACCAGTCCAACCTTTTGAGCCCCATTTAGGCATCTCGGGGCCTCAGCGATCCTTGGAAATTGTTCCACTAGATGTTTTCGCCATATGTATGATTGCTTCAGTGGACAGTGAAATTTGGTGAACTGAATAAATATGAACGTAGATTGGGATGAAATTCGGTTTGAATACATATGCAACAAAATGCAAAATTTTGGTACAAAATGCTTCACTCCAATCGTGGAGGTTTTTCAGCTGAAATCATTGTGTGACTGACGGGTCCCATACACCACATCTTACGGTGTACTACACAACAAACAGTGCGCAAAATTTGATTATTGCATTTGCACCCATGTTTTTTCCTTTCCACGCAGATCAACTTATTCTTCAGTACCTAGACGATGCTAACCGCAAACAAATAGTGCACTTTCAAGGTCAAACCGTGGGCGACTGGCTCATTCGTATCCAAGGTCACATGGCTTACAACAGTAGCTGGTGGATGAATGGTGTGTCGTCCGGTGCTCCTGTGAATTTTTGACGGACCAGTGAAAATCGTGTAATTTTTTGCCTGTTTAGCAAATTATTGAACGGTACATTATCCACAGAGTATTGAACATATGTAATAATAATTGGGCTTTAAGCGCCGAATTAAAAAATTTTGAATTCACACTATTTGAACCTCGCACAACATATGCTCGATTACAACTGGGATTAAAGTCTATTTCCCTGCCTCCTTTATAGTCTTAGAGGCAGTCTGCCAGCCCTGGAAATGCAGGTGAACAATGCAAGAGGGTTGGTTAACCCGAACTGCAATAAACTGCTTGTGACCACTGTTTACGACCACCATACACTCCATGTGGTTTTGGCTTCCCCTGGTTGTCTCTGACTGAATAAAATGAGGTAACTAATCCATTTATTTGGTCAACATTTTACAAAATGTCACCTTATTTTCGTCACGTACTCCACTCGTTGATACGATTAGGTGACCCCAATTGGGCCGCGATAAATATTTCGCGATTTTATTCCTGGATAAAGTCTAGTAAATTGATTCTCCAACTGCATCAGAGGCACGTGTTCCAGATCCTCCAGTTTGCGGACAACATTTATTCCTGGATAAAGTCTAGTAAATTGATTCTCCAACTGCATCAGAGGCACGTGTTCCAGATCCTCCAGTTTGCGGACAACAGTCGCAGTCATTGGTATGTTGCGTGACAAGTAAATGGGAAGTACTAGAGATTATTGACAGTCATTATCCTGTGGATCACTTAAGTAGTATAACACGAAATTGCTTGAATAGTTTGGTGACGTAACTGCAATAAGACCTACACTCCCCGGCAGCCAGACCGCCCACTTGGTTTGGTGGGATACTTGAGTAGATCGTGTGTGACATCTTCTTCTAGCCATCTTCTCGTCTCAAGTACGATGACAGTAGCTATATACTACGGGACCCTCCGTTAACAGAGCATGCATGATATATTTTAATCACTCGTAAGGCGAATAAAGTAAACAATCTTTTATAAGAGCGTAGACAAAAGATTGGGTTCAGTTATACGGAATATTTCAGACGAGCAAGCTCACAGCCACATAGGTTTGTTTTGATGTTCAGAAGTATCGTAAACAGCTTTGAGAAGGACAGAAGCCCTGAGTGGACTTCTAAGAGCTCTATCCCTTCCCCCGGATAGCGCCTTTTGGATGAATGAATACTTGCACGTGTTCACTCTAAACACGAAGAATTCACGTTTATCTAAATACGGATGACTTTTTAATCAATGGAGCGCTGCTACATCGAAGGCCAAGTTAATAACAGCGAGCCTGAGGAAACCATATTTTCATCTGGAATTAACATACTACTAAAGCACGAGAGGGCCTCAGACTATTCTAAACGAGCGATTCAGCTGACTTCGGTCAAAACCAGGTTCACGTGCAGGTGATGGTGTTTGGCAAAACCACAGTTTTCTTCTATCTCTTAACGATTAAAATTGTGCGTAAAAAGAAACAAACACCGAGCGGTATCTCGGAATTCGTCATAAGGAATGCATCACAGCAGATAGGTATTCCGTTGTCTCTGTGTTGTTTAGCTGGTGCTAGGTAGCTCAGTGGTCAGGGCGCGAATTTACTAATCGGAAGGTCCGGGGTTCAAACCCGACATCTGCCTTTTGATTTGTCCCGTCCAGACTTGAGCAACCAAACAGTATCCCACTCTTCGTAATTCCTTCGGGCGACATGGCGGCTAGACACTAAAAGGGTGCTACAACTGAACGACTGTTAATTATTTCGGCAAGAAAATCAGTGTTTAAAGACAAGAGAACTCTCCTGAAGTTTAGGCATTCTTTGGAACGAACCTGCTAATGAAGTTATATCAGTGCGGCGCATTAGGACGAAATATATCATAGTCCACTCTGTCTTTTGCTGAAATAAAAGGGCATCAAATGTGGACAAGTCTCGTTTTGACAATATAGTTGCCAGAGTGATGTGGATGTTTGAAAACTGAGAGCCAAGATGACAGTATATTACAAAGGAGGCTTCTTCAAACTGTGCCGAAAAACTAAGGAGTGCTGTACAGGGGATCCTTAAACACCAGGATGAATGCTCAGAAAGCGGCTGGATACTGAACCAGCCACCAGTGTAGTGGACTCACAATTCGACAGGGTATAGGGCCACCCGTCCTCCACATCCCATGGTCACGTTTTGACTGATTGGAGTCGAGTAATAACTCTTCGGATGAGTGGTTCACTCCTTGTGTGCATCATTCTAAATTCATCGTCACGCATCATTTTATCCAAATACGTGTCAGTCACACAGTAAATCAGGGAATTTGTGGGATACACACTGGTGCTCATTTCCACTAAGGGTGGAAGAGTCATACAGTACTTCTCCGATTCTTGGAATAAATTAACTTCGCTTGTCGAACGAAACTTCCAAGTCTCTTAATGCTATGAGTAAAATGGCAATATATTGTTGACACCCTTATTCGCTGCAATTCAGTTATTCTCTACGTTATTATTTGACATTTATTCAACACAAGAAGATGGCAAGCAGGGCTGTATGATTGGCTAATATATTGCAGATTTACATTGACCCTGGTTAGGTTTCACGTGCAAATTTTAGAGGAGCAACATGGATACAAGCATCCCCAATAGAGGAGGTAGATCATGCAGACAAAGGTGTGACATCACCTTCAGATAAGTTGCTGGAGCAGAACTGTTCGTTTGCCACCGGAATTTCAAGGGTTGCACAATTTTCTTCAAGGACGGAGTTGGATGCACACAATATATGTTTAAATTAGGAGAACCGGCTTCGAACGTAACGGGACCGCATAAATGCCAGTGAAATAACCGTTTTTCTTTGATACAGATTTTACTGGTTGTTCTTCACTCGCCCTTGGCCAAACGCACCAGGCAGTCAGGTGACTATCCAGACCAGGGTTCACGGTAGTAAGAGGGCATTAAGGGATGTGGTCCACAATAGATTACGAAAACGTGCCCCGTGTTTACGACGGCTTTGAGCAAAACGCGACGGAAGCACTGTGAGCTAGGCTCCGTCCAAGCGTACTTCAGGGACACTGGATGATTTTCGCGCATTTTATCTGATAAAGAACTTGTGGTCAGTCCGAAGTAACATGTCCTGTGTCGGCGCACAAACGGTATCATACAGCAGCTGGTGACATAGTTTGTCAGATTCCGTTTGATCTTGTCACCCACCTATTGAAGCGCAATACCAAAGAATCTGAACGAACCGATTGTGTTCTACCCTAAAAGAAAACTGACATGAATATAGACTGTACAAAACTACTGTTTTAAGGGTAGTATGATTGTCAGGTCAGAGGACATCGTTGAAGAAGCTACCAGAGAGCTAGACCGTTTAATGAATGCGTCGGCTTTTCGTCAAAAAGCACGTCTTTGAAGATGTCTCAAGGGCACAAAATTTGTTGTCCTGTTTGCAATAGTAGCGA